TCCATGTCGGACAAATGGCTATTGGGACCCACACAGAATCCAAATAAGTAATTTTATCGGGTGGCCCATCATAATTTTATCAAAACTAGTTTAAAAAAAAAAAAAAGGTTGAACTCCAACCTTAAGGGTCCCCCACTACTCCTACCCTGGAACATTGTGAAAGAAGTAAATCGCAAGTTATGCCTCCATGGGAATAGGGTTGAAGGCTGCTTGTACACTTACACTTACCCAAGAGTCAAATCCATATTTCAGGATTCGAACCCTTGACGCGACAGCCTCAAGTAAAATTGGATTTCTTCACCCTCCCCTTTTAACAATTGGAGATGTGCCCTGGGGGCATCAAAACTAGTTTCATCACATGTGCTTTTCGTCCTTGTGTGATGGGAGAGAAACTTCAGCCCTATCGGGGTTCGCCACCTCGACGGATGGTTCATCACACACCGTATCACATATGCTTTTAGTCCCTTTGTGATGGGATAGAAACTTTCGAACTACCAGTGTGCGCTACCCATCATCACATATGCTTTTAATCCCTGTGTGATGGGAGATAAACTTTCGCCTTATTAGGGTGCGTTACCTCGATGGGTGGGTTACCCATCGAGGTGGTGGCTCGAATTTGGGCAGTTGTGTCATTCACATGGTGTGACTGTCCCACTGAAGTTTCTCTCATGTGATAATGCTAAAATAGCAGATTATTAGGTATTTTATCTTTCATAAAATCGCGACATTGTACATAAAATATTTTCTCTTACTTGTGATTCCTTTTCTACCCTTTATGTACATGTGGAAAAGGCTGAGAAATTGCTGTTGTCATTTTCAATGCATACATATAATTTCCCACACAACCACTCCTGGTATTTCCTATAAATGAGGCAAAGATATGCCGCACTTTGTCGGACAAGCGGCATAATTTTTTAACAAATTTTATTGACTCGTTTCCACTCATTTCATAAGTAATTTCTGGTGGGTATCCATAATTCTCTCATCTCTTGAACCTATTCGTCCTTTTTTAAATTAATTGCATCACATATGCTCTTAAAAAAATAGAATTGTTTATACTTGTAATTTCTGAAATCTATAAAGCCTTAAATTTCTATTTATTTCAGAATTAAACTATAAATATTAAGTACATGAAATAATATTATGATTTTTTCTCCTATCGTATTTTATGGTATTAGTTATTGGATTAAAACCACCAATGACCACCTAACTTTATACTTAATGTCACCATAACCACCCAATTTGATTTTATTTTACCATAGCCACCAAACTTTATACTTAGCATCAGTTTAGTCCCCATTATTTGGTATTATAATTTTTGAAATAGTATTTTTTTTTTTTTTGGAAAAATGTGTTTAAAAATGAAGAATTTTTTTTGCTTTACGTGAAATATTATGTTATAGAATATTGTTCAAACCGAAGTTTAGTATCACAATGACCATCCAATTTGATTTTATTTATCACGACCACCTAATTTCACATAACATTTCACAATGCCTACCCAATTTCTTTCAACCATTTTCAATAATTTTAAATGGGTAAAATGGTAACTTTGTATTATATATGAAATAAAATTTAAAAAATGATTTTTTTTAATTTTAGAATAAGTTTTTTTTTCTATGTAACTTTTTTAAATAATTATTATTATTTTTTAGAGGAACTTTTTAAAATAAATTTTTATTTTATATTATTTTTATAAGTAATTTTTTAAATAACTTTTTATTTTATTTTAAAATTTTTTTAAATAAGTTTTTATTTTATTTTTCTAAGTAATTTTTTTAAATAAATTTTTATTTTATTTTTTAAAATAAGTTTTTATTTTAATTTTTTAAAATTCATTTTATATATATAATACAAAGTTAACATTTTACTCCTTTTAAAATCGGTGAAAATAAATTGGATGACCATAGTGAAACATTTTATGAAATTGGGTAGTCATGATAAAATAAAATCAAATTGGCCAACAATAGTGATACTAAGTATAAAATTGGGTGAACATGGTGAAATAAAATTAAATTGAGTGACCATGATGACACTAATTATAAAGTTGAGTGGTCATTAATAAATTTAATCCATTAATTATTTATCAGAAATCTCCATTATCCATATGCTGATTAAAGGGTGTTTGATTCTCATTTTTCAAAATACATTTTATCCCTCTTTTTTTTTAATCACATATTATTCATTAAAATAATATTACAAATAAATTAAAATTTGTTTTTTATTTTTTTAATCACATATTTTTCATCAATCTATTATTTCAAAATACATTATTTAAAAGGAACATGGTTCAAACACGCCATAAGAAGCATTCGTATGACGGACGAGTCACGTGCCGCACGGGGCAAAGTACAGAAGTACGTGAGAATGGAAGAAGTTTTGCATGTGACGCACACAGGTGGCGGTACACTAACGCAGAGCAACGACTACCGCAGGAAGGAACCTTTTTCCAAGTGAGGTATTATTAAAAAATAAGGTTAATAAAATGTGTCACAAAGCTACGCTTAACTCTTTGCACATATATTGTTATTATTATTTTTAGAATATCTTCAACAAACTCTCTTTTTTATATAGAACGATTTTGAATTTAAAGATTAATTATTTTTTCATACATTTTTATTTTTTCAAGAAATATTATTTAATTTTTCTTAATATTTTCTTTAAAATAATTATGTGAGTGATCATTAACTCAAATATGTTTTGAATAATTTATAATATAGAGTATTGAATTTTACTACTAAATAAATGTAATCATTATAATTTAAAAATAGATAGTGAATTTAACTCTCAAAATTTAGATATCCAAATTACTGGTGACAATTGAGTCGGGTAGCTCTCGAGCTACATGTCCTAACTAGTTAAAATCCTACTCATGAGTGACTCGAGCTCGTATTTTGATGTGCCATGAGCTAAGCTGGCCTCCTTTCTTATTGATGAGTCAAACTCGACCTACTCATGAGTTTCAGGAGCAAGCTTGTGGGTTTTATTGAAAAGCCTGTCTTGAGTTGGCTCGTTTGGGTCTATACAGTCGTTTCCCACTAAGCAAAGGGTCAAACGGGCTTGTAAACATAGCAACTTGCAAATAAAGTAATAAGAACTAATAAGTGATGAGCATCAATGTCCATTATCGAAAACTTGACATTTTTTATGTTTTGAATGTTTGATTTCACAATATATATATATATATATATATATATATATATAAGTATCGGTGCTTAACTTATGTTAAACACTGGTGATATGGCATGCCATTTAATTAGCGAATAAGTTAACGGTAAGTCTCATGTATCTAATGATTCACCAATTAAATAGTATGTTATATTACCGATATTTATTATAAACTAAATATCGGTATTTAGGAGATCAGTCCTATATATACATATATATAGGTTCATGAGCGGGCTCAAATTTTACAAAATAAGCTGATCTTGGCTTGGGTCATGAGCCCAAAAGCTTGTGCCTTTTGAACCAACAAACTAAGCCGATTCTAATGTATTAGCTCACGAGTCGACTTGACTCAACTCATTAATCAGACTAACTTTCTATTTAAAAAAAAAAAGAAGTTAAAAACAAAAATTTTCTTAAAAATTAATTTTAAATATTGACCCTTACCCTAGTGGTTGCGTAGCTCTCTGAATGATCTTCTGTTTACGTTTCCGTGAGAAAAAAGGACTACTGAGGGAGACATGTAGCATAATATTGGAATCAAACCGGATAAGTATGAGAAATAGGCCAAAGCTGTGTTTTAAATTTGGAAAATTACAGAGAGACTCCCTTGAGTTCCAGATTATGCCAAGGTATTCTCAACCGTTTAAAAATTACAATAATTTTCAATTATTTCAAAGTTTGATCAACACAATTTCGTTGACTGTAATTTGACCAAATTGTCAGATTAGTTATAGTTAAAAATTTGCTTTAATATTCATAATCTATTGACTAAAAACTGAAAGTTTATATAACATAATCATAAAAAATATGAAAATTATTTGCAATACTTTAAAAAATTAGAGATGAATTTGCAATTTGCAAGAAACCGTGAAAAAAATTGTTATAATTAAAGGAATATGCAAGGACAATGCGTTAGAGTAGAAATCGATGAAGCAGACTGGACTATAAAAACATTGAATAAATTAATTTTGTTTACAGACTTTAAGATTTTATTTAAGATGATTAATTAAATAAAAAGCTCAAGTTTACGTCGCACCCGTTCTTTTTATGTAACGGTGTTCGACAATAATTTAATCAAAAAAATAAATTCGACAATAGAAAAAGAATAATACTGTTTAGTCCCACTGAAATTATAATATCAATTTATGTGGTGTTAGATGATAAGTTAAATGAAAAATAAAAATAAATAATACTTATCATTTAGTACCATATTATCGTCGTAAATAATATTACTATTAAAAATGATAAACCTTAATTCGGGTGGTTGAAAGTGGCCGTTAGATGTGTCTGTCAGTTTACAGCCTGGCCTCAACCACATTACATCTTCTTCTTTTTTTGTCGTTTTCCTCTATCCTTATTTTGAAAATCAAATCTCTCACTATCTGAAAAAATATCACATCCCCTGTTATGCTCTACAGCCTGGCTGGCTTAGTCAAACCTCAATCTCCCAACCCCATAATTATATTAACTTCCAAAACGGTCGGTGATTTGAATTTTCTAATCCAAAACCCCCCACTCTCTTTTTTTAAATACCCGAGATTTTAGTAATCTAGGTGTCACATCTACCCTTCCACCAAATGACGCGTGTCTATTGCCAGCTGTATTGTTATTAACTGCCCTTTTCCCGGTAACTCCACCGGTTCACCCGGTCATTATCTTTCTTCTTCACCCTGTGTATGAATTGGATTATAAACAAATGAAAAATCCAATATATGAAAAAGAAGAAGATAAAAATTGGATTGAGTCCGGGCCTGGGCCAAAAGTCCAATGCGGACATCTGCCCGCACTGGATTGTGAAATGGCTTTGCCCATGTACCAGCTTTCCCCCGAAGTGTAGCATCGGGCTTTCACACCTGAAGAAGATGAGAAAATCATTCGGGCTCACGCGAAATTTGGCAACAAGTGGGCTACCATATCACGATTATTGTCGGGCCGGACGGATAATGCCATCAAGAATCATTGGAACTCGACTCTGAAGCGTAAGTGCTTTTCGATGTGCGAAGAGTTCAATAATTTTGAGCCTGAAACTCAACAGCCATTGAAAAGATCTTCAAGCGTCGGGCCGGGTACAGTGATTTCTAACTCGGGTCTTAACTTCGATCCTAGCAGTCCATCCGGATCCGATTTGAGCGAATCAAGCCTCTCGGGTCATCAAATTTACCGACCCATTGCAAGAACCGGAGGGATCTCTCCTCCTCATCCTACGCCTTCTCAACCAGACCTCCTCACATCACTTAGCCTTTCCTTACCTGGGTCGGGTTCCAATTCAAAACCCGTTTTAGAGTCCTTTCCCCCACAAATGAAACCTGTATCAGACCCGACCCCTAAACCTTCACGGGAGCCGGATCGTAAATCAGGGTCCACTATGCACCATACACAGATAATCCAGTCTCCGGCACCACCTGTCCAAGCTTCTCAGATGACTTTGGCACCGCCGCCGCCACTGTCTCAGCAGTTTACTGCGGCAGCTAAACCTGCAGTTGGGGAGGTGGCTATGCCATCCCAGGTTGATGCGGACAAACAGTTTTTTAGCCCTGAGTTCTTAGCAACTCTGCAGGAGATGATAAGGAAAGAGGTGCGGAATTACATGGCGGGGATCGAGCCCAACAGGTTTTTGATGCAGACAGATGCGATAAGGAATGCAGTGGTGAAGCGAATTGGGATAAGCAAGATTGACTAGTGAGTGATCGAATGAATTCAAAATCAAGACTCGTGGAAGAATAGTTTTTGGAACGGGTGAATTGGGATGGGGTTTAATGGATGCAGAATGATTAATTTCGTTTTGTAGATTTCTTAGCTTCGTTCTACAAAAATAATTCTGAGGTATTGTATAGATGAATCAATGAAGGAGTAAGGGTTAATGCTGAATCGAGTTAGGTTTGAGCAAAGCGAAAATTTGATGCTGGACGGAGAATGACTCACTCAAAAAGTTAAAAAAAATAATAAAAAAAAGGGTGTTATTTTCTTCTACCCACAAATTAAATTACAGGTTTTAATATTTGAATTTTTAAATTTTTAAGATTTAAAATTAAAGGCACAAGTAAAAGTATATATCACACGTACTCAACATGGGATACGAAACAAAAAAGAAATAATAAGAAAACTCTCTTTCAGGTTTGAAATTAGGTAGAGGAGAAAGCAGACTTTGGCTTGCAATTTATCAGGAAATTCGTTGGAAAAGCCCTATCAATTTTTGGGCTAATATGGCCGTCCATTCAACACTTGACTCCAGGATTGTACCTTGATTCAAGCGTAGATATAAAAACCAAAAAGGAGCAGTCCATTCTCCATTAAAAAATAAATAAATAATTATGAAAAAAGTTTCTAAAATCGATTTTGCGAAAAATAATTATCAAAATATTTTACATGTATGTATGTGCTTTGGGAATAAGCTATTTTTGATCAATTCAATCCACAAGCTTAGGTGATGCTTCTATTTGTGGTGGTGTCACTATCAAAAGGGTTCGTTTGAAAATCGTCGTCTGTTCTAAATCTGTTCAACCATAAGACTATATGCGATGGACATGTTAATTCAGTGTTACTAATTTATCTCTTCAATTAATGGATTAGTACGTTAGTTAAGAACATTTATTTGTGTTGGAAGTTAAAGAAGGTTGCTGCCTGAGCCAGCATTTTAGTTATTAAACGTGGCAGTTAACTGCTGCTTCAAACCCCCCACTCTCTTTTTTTAAATACCCGAGATTTTAGTAATCTAGGTGTCACATCTACCCTTCCACCAAATGACGCGTGTCTATTGCCAGCTGTATTGTTATTAACTGCCCTTTTCCCGGTAACTCCACCGGTTCACCCGGTCATTATCTTTCTTCTTCACCCTTATATACATCCCCCTTTCTCATCTCTGCCTTCGTCTCATACTGAGGTGAGGCTCTGCCTCTCAATATACCTGTACATACAGAAACTTGTTGTCTATCTTGGTTATGGCGGTGTTATCACAGACGAAAGAAATGGATCGGATCAAGGGCCCGTGGAGCCCGGAAGAGGATGCGTTGTTGCAGAGGTTGGTCGAGAAGCATGGACCCAGGAACTGGTCTTTGATTAGCAAATCGATTCCGGGACGGTCTGGGAAATCGTGCAGGTTGCGGTGGTGCAACCAGCTTTCCCCTGAAGTCCAGCATCGGGCTTTCACACCTGAAGAAGATGAGAAAATCATTCGGGCTCACGCGAAATTTGGCAACAAGTGGGCTACCATATCACGATTATTGTCGGGCCGGACGGATAATGCCATCAAGAATCATTGGAACTCGACTCTGAAGCGTAAGTGCTTTTCGATGTGCGAAGAGTTCAATAATTTTGAGCCTGAAACTCAACAGCCATTGAAAAGATCTTCAAGCGTCGGGCCGGGTACAGTGATTTCTAACTCGGGTCTTAACTTCGATCCTAGCAGTCCATCCGGATCCGATTTGAGCGAATCAAGCCTCTCGGGTCATCAAATTTACCGACCCATTGCAAGAACCGGAGGGATCTCTCCTCCTCATCCTACGCCTTCTCAACCAGACCTCCTCACATCACTTAGCCTTTCCTTACCTGGGTCGGGTTCCAATTCAAAACCCGTTTTAGAGTCCTTTCCCCCACAAATGAAACCTGTATCAGACCCGACCCCTAAACCTTCACGGGAGCCGGATCGTAAATCAGGGTCCACTATGCACCATACACAGATAATCCAGTCTCCGGCACCACCTGTCCAAGCTTCTCAGATGACTTTGGCACCGCCGCCGCCACTGTCTCAGCAGTTTACTGCGGCAGCTAAACCTGCAGTTGGGGAGGTGGCTATGCCATCCCAGGTTGATGCGGACAAACAGTTTTTTAGCCCTGAGTTCTTGGCAACTCTGCAGGAGATGATAAGGAAAGAGGTGCGGAATTACATGGCCGGGATCGAGCCCAACAGGTTTTTGATGCAGACAGATGCGATAAGGAATGCAGTGGTGAAGCGAATTGGGATAAGCAAGATTGACTAGTGAGTGATCGAATGAATTCAAAATCAAGACTCGTGGAAGAATAGTTTTTGGAACGGGTGAATTGGGATGGGGTTTAATGGCTGCAGAATGAACTTAATTTCGTTTTGTAGATTTCTTAGCTTCGTTCTACAAAAATAATTCTGAGGTATTGTATAGATGAATCAATGAAGGAGTAAGGGTTAATGCTGAATCGAGTTAGGTTTGAGCAAAGCGAAAATTTGATGCTGGACGGAGAATGACTCACTCAAAAAGTAAAAAATAATAATAATAAAAAGGGTGTTATTTTCTTCTACCCACAAATTAAATTACAGGTTTTAATATTTGAATTTTTAAATTTTTAAGATTTAAAATTAAAGGCACAAGTAAAAGTATATATCACACGTACTCAACATGGGATACGAAACATAAAAGAAATAATAAGAAAACTCTCTTTCTGGTTTGAAATTAGGTAGAGGTGAAAGCATACTTTGGCTTGCAATTTATCAGGAAATTCGTTGGAAAAGCCCTATCAATTTTTGAGCTAATATGGCCGTCCATTCAACACTTGACTCCAGGATTGTACCTTGATTCAAGCGTAGATATAAAAACAAAAAAGGAGCAGTCCATTCTCCATTAAAAAAAAAATAAATAAATGAATAATTATGAAAAAAATTTCTAAAATCGATTTTGCGAAAAATAATTATCAAAATATTTTACATGTATGTATGTGCTTTGTGAATAAGCTATTTTTGATCAATTCAATCCACAAGCTTAGGTGATGCTTCTATTTGTGGTGGTGTCACTATCAAAAGGGTTCGTTTGAAAATCGTCGTCTGTTCTAAGTCTGTTTAACCATAAGACTATATGCGATGGACATGTTAATTCAGTGTTACTAATTTACCTCTTCAATTAATGGATTAGTACGTTAGTTAAGAACATTTATTTGTGTTGGAAGTTAAAGTAGGTTGCTGCCTGATCCAGCATTTTAGTTATTAAACGTGGCAGTTAACTGCTGCTTGATTTTCTCTCCTTCTATAACAGTTATCATTTATCACAAAAAATAATTATAATCTCAATTTATTCAAGAAAATGACCGTTACATAATCATTTAATTGCCTTTTCGTCTCTCTCTCTCTCTCTCTCTCTCTTTTTTTTATGTCTTTTTTTTTGGTCTTGTTCAAATCTTACCTCATCTATCACAAAAAATAATAATTATACATCTCATTTTATAAAAATGATCGTCCCACAATAATCTAGGCCCGTTTGATTCCAATTTTTTCTCAAAATATATTTTTCTCTCTCCTTCTCAATCACACATTTTTCATTAAAATAATATTAACATAAATAAAACATTTTTCATCCACACATTCTCCATTAATCTACTATTCTAAAATTCATTTTTCCATAAAAATGGGTGTCGAACACCCTCTTAATTGCTCTTCGCTTTTTTTTTTTAATTTTATTTTTGGTTTCAATATCTTATAATCTCATATAAGTGCCACGTGGATACTATGTAATCTTTTAAGTAAACCTTAATGTACATGTAGCAATGTCCATAATTGTTACCTCATTTATTACAAAAACTTATTTTATTCAAGAAAATGACCGTTGCACATTAGTTTAATATTTTAAATATAACTCTCTAAATTCTAATTTTGAATTCAAAATCAACATTCTTATTATAACAAAGTACTTATTTTCTTGACTTGTTCACACCTAATCTCACACCATAGAACCAACAATACAACTCTTAGTCATCACCACAACTTGATCTTAGCCATTTTTTAACCACAACAATATGATTTTTAGTCTTTTTTCCTGACAGTATCCTTCTGACTCTTTTAGTTCTCATTTGTTTTATGAGTCAAGCTTGATTCTCGTCTCATCAACCTTCTCAAGCTCGCAATTTGCAACGTCCAACAACAATAAAGAAGAAGGAGACTCAAAAGCAAACGAAGGAAATGAATCCCAACAGGACTAAAGAGGAAGATGAAGCATTATGTAAAGCATGGTTACAAAATATCGTCACACATTTGGCTTTTAGAGAATCGTTAAGTATAGGTGGCAATAAATTCATAACCCTTTGAACTTGTTTCATTGATGAGCTTGATGAAATTGACGAAGTAGAATTATACTCGATCATAGAGATTGATTGTGATGCTGAAGCTGTACTTTCCAAAAAAATTAAGTTGGAGATGAATCAGGAATTTATTGTTGATGATTGGTATATGAAAAGAGGTGATTTACGTAGAGTACTTATGAAATTGAAATTTCAACCTTAAAAAACATAACCACTAAATAAAATGTATCAGTTAAAACATCGAACACAGATATTCTAAGTCCATAGTTACGAGACCCTTCTTCAAATTAGTGGGTCTCTACGTTCATAGAATTTACACTTACCACAAATTTCTCAACAACCTCTATTATTTATTAAATGCAAAAAAAAAAAAATGGAGTTCTATTTTTCAATTTAATTTTTTTTGGTAAACTAGTGTTTTTAATAGGAAATGACTGTAAAAATTGTTTATTATTAGGCTATTAACTTAATACTTGATGATATAGTGAAATTTAATTGGATCAAATAAAAAAAACTTCTCCACTTTCTTTTTGACTTATCAATCTATAAAAGATTACGTAAAGGATAATGTATAACAAACATTTTCCTAAAAAATGCTATTAACTTGTAAAAATTAAAATCAGTTCTTCAATATCAAGGAATATCTTTTTTCTTATATTAAACCTGAAATAAATGATTCTTTTGAAACACAAGAAATAATTCATTCTAAATTAGGAAAAAGATGGAGGTATAGGGGCTTGCTTCATAGGGCCCTGCCAGGTGAGAGAGGAGGTGGAGACGGGCCCCACCTTTTTTTTTTAATGCGTGTGAGGCCCCTGTGAACTGAGCTCTGGTACATGGAGCTCGGTCCTCTAAATTAAGGGATAACAGGCTTCTAAGTTCCTAAATGAGACAGTGAAATTCTCACTCTGACTATGATGTGGCGGTTCCCTCAAAATTGAAATTCAAATTGACGAGTCAATCAAATGTCAATAAGATCCTTTGCTTCCCACATCATCGCCTTAACAATCTAATAATTGAGTTACAAACTAGATGGCCACAACTCTAAAACCTCTCCCAACTTTCATCTATCTTGTTCTGATCTTCAGCTCCTTCTTCGTTAATGAAGAGTGTCCTTTGAGGTTTTCAAAATAGTACAATCCAATTAAAATTCTACTTGAAAAATTATATATTGACACGATAAAGACCGAAAGGCCAAGTCACGGTTGTGAGGGACATCAATCTATAAACGCTTTAACTATTGAGGATATTGAGAAATCTGGTCCAAACCCTGGAGAGGGACATTAATAGCTCATCAACATTTTTACGCTCTTGTAAAGAGAAATTATGAATTAAAAGTTCTTGTAACTTTGTTACCTATTTGTAGTTTATTTTACTAAATAAAAAAATCAACTATTAACATTCGACGAAAGAGGCAAAGATGCCTTCACTTATGAATACATCTAGTTGATAATACATTATTTTTACGAATACAAAGATAATCATGTACTTTATCCCATGTGTGTTCCAACGTAGGGATGGCAATATATCCGCCTCATTTTGTCCCATCCCGTCCTCATTGCCCCTATCCAGAATGGAATTGGAGCTAAAAGTCGGTACTCGCTGTTGTTTCTAGAGTTTGACATTACTCTTTCGAAATCAATCCGACAAAATTACCTGAATGTAAAGAATTGATCAACAGGATGTAAACAGTAATTCGAGCCCACCGACTTCACGATATTTCCTTAAAACGAATTTGCTGCCTTCAATGGTGCTAAAGGCGTCCATCAATCGTTTCCCAGAACGAATTTTTGTCTCATACGGAAGTAGCACTGCAATCTGCAGGAGTTCCAACGAACTCAACGAAGTGTGTTTTACTTCGAGACAATATCAGAACGAAAGAGAAGGGAATGATATTCAAAGCACAGAAAATTTGCAATGAAAATGGTGTGAATTTTTTGGTAGAGAGACTGACTATTTATAGACTTGTTCGTGGCCATTCGAACAGTCATCACCTTTCAGACAAACCTCAAAATCCGAACAGACATGCTGTTTTTAAAAGTCGCGTCTGTTAAGTCCGTTAACAGTCGGCTAACAGTCGACTGTTAAAAGAAAATAAAACACCCGGAATAAGCCAAAATTTAAATTTCATAATGTACCAAAAAATTTGATTATTTACAATTTGGTCCAAGATTTTATCCAAAAAGTTAATATAGTGCAAAGGTCCACCCGCACCGAACCGGACTTGGACTCGGACACGGGCACGTGCTCGAGCCGAGCCGGCGCGCGCGTGTGGGTTTATGACCGAACCCAATAGGATATAGGTCTTCCCCCTTCCAAAGACTATGCTAGATCCCGTATTAATTAAAAAGTGGATCCCACTGAAATTTGGGCTCAAAGTTGACCCATTTCATAACTATTTTTTCCAACACTCACTTCAATTTTTATATTTTATTTTTAAATTTAAATAATATTTTTATATTAAAAATAAAGAAATAAGGATATAGTCCAATAAATAAGAATGTTTAACTCTCTGTTTGAATATAATTTATCACTGTCAAATATTATTTCAATCAAATATTTATAATTATTAATCATTATCTACACATTGGTGAGACTTCTTTTTCTCGTTATTCTTATTTATAAATTCGTCAAACGGCCCGACCATTGTTTTGATGTATCGTGCAGTAGAAATCAACATTACGTGGGCAGTTACGCAGGGCATGTTGGGTGCAAAGGGTTAAAATAATAAGAAAAAGGCACTGAATATTTAAAAACATATATAAAAGTTTTACCTATACCAGAGCTAATTTGACTTGGCAGCTTCACAAACATCAAAATTAAAATTGAAATTGAACAGTCAATCAAATGTCTTTTACGTAGCAACTTCATCTCCATGCCATGCATATTGCACTCTATATATTTGGAGTAACAATTGATGCTTTCCCACAATGTCCACTTCTTCGAATTCAACAAATCTAATTCAATATCTCCAAATGGCCCCAATGCCAAAATCTCTTCTTGTCATCTTCGTTCTTCTCTTCAGCTCCTTTTTCTTCATCAACGAAGCACGTCTCTTGAGCATGGCAGAACAGCATAATTCAATTGAAAGTTCGGTCGAAAAATTATATGTCGAAGCTATAAAGACTGGAGGACCGAGTCACGGTGGGGA